TGATAGTGTACTCTGTACGATAAGTATATTTTCGATTTTGAGTGAGTTTTTGAATCTTGTGTTTTTACAATAATAATTGAATTCTTATGCTCAATATCATCTATTGTTAAATTTAATAGTTCGCTTCTTCTATATGGCCCATATGTGCCAAATATTAAAATAACATGAAATAATATAATTACAATAAATCTATTAAAATACTAGTGAATTAATATGACTCACCTTCATTAATAAGAGGCCTTCATCTGATGCCTCTTCAATTTCTCAATCTCCGCTTTTGTTAAGACTTTTCACATTTTTTGGACGATTCGTACACATTTATTTTTCAAATACCTACATACTAATTTAGAATATTTCTGTAAATGTTCCCGTATATTTTGTTTGACGTTTAGTGTTCTCTTCAGCATTGAATTTATAGACCATAAATAACATTGTCGGCTACACTCTCTTAGTTTTATATTCAAAATATGCCAATATCTCACTATTTTTTAATTTCTTACAATCATACCATTCCAAAAAGTCTTTGCAAGCAGATTCATATTGCCTGACTGATTTGTCGCTTGACACTTCACATGGTAGATCTTCATCACTTTCTGACAAGTTTTTATTCAATTTCAATGATAAAATTATTGAATAAACAGCCACCAACTGAAGATTTCAAATACGCGCGTTTTCTTAATAGAATTGTTGATTGTTTACTAAAACTTGTTTATTGCGTTGCTAACGTTATTGTAGATGATGTACAGGATGTCTCACAATTAGTGTCCAATAACTTACCACTTGATTCCATTGCCAAAAATAAGAATATTTTTTCATATAAACATTGGTCGACAAATGCTTCCTAAGGGAGCTACGCCGTCCTAAATGGGGATTCTGAAAATTCATTTTTTTGAAATATTTCCGAAATTGCTTGACGGAAAATAAAGAATTTTGACATCGTAAACTCTCATTAAAAGCCGAAATAGATCATTATAAATTTTTTTAAAATTTTAGTCAGGGGCGTCTCAATTGGGGCTAAAATTTGCCCCAATTTTTCTGTCGAAATTTTCAAATTCAGATGCCAACATATGATAGACCCTTATTTCCTCTACAAAAAAGGTACTCTTTATTTCTTTCGATAAAATGCTTCATTTCCGATAAAAACGGATCTAAGCATTTTATTGCATACATTAATGAAATTAAAAAAAAATCTTGAATAGCTACAATGGATACATGTACCATTATGAATTTTGATATGTCATCATGTTTGAAAAGTTTGTTAAAAATGGTAATGTTGTTTTATTTCGAAAAAAAGTTTTCGAGAAAAATCGGTTTAAATATGTTATAACACTTTCCAAACTCTGCTTTTCTAAGCAAGAGCTAAGAAGCTAAGAAAAACGGATTTAAGCGTTTTTCTTGGAAATTGAGCATTTTATCGAAAGAAATAAAGAGTACCTTTTTGTAAAGGAAATGAAGGTCCATAACATGTTGGCCTCTGAATTGGCCCCCAATTGAGACGCCTCTGATCAAAATTTTTGAAAAATTTTGTGATGATCTATTTCTACTTTTAATGAGTGTTCATGGTGTCAAAATTCATAATTTTCCTTCAACCCATTTCGGTAATATTAAAAAAAATAATAATTTTTTGAGTCCCCATTTATGGGGGCGTAGCTTACCAAGCATTTCTCAACCAATGTTTATAAGAAAAAAATTCTTATTTTTGGCAATAGAATCAAGTGGTAAATTATTGGACATTAATTATGAGTATATGTCAAATAAATTAATTGTTAATGTCAAAATTTTTTCCTCACATTTTTACTATTTTTGAACTGTGGGATACAGTTTTAGAAAAAATGTTATTTGATAGGTACTCGATTTCGAAATCTTTTTGCATTCCCGAATGTTTTGCTCTCAAAAAAACTTTCATTCTCGAATGCAGAAATAGTATTTCGCAATCTAGCACCAAAAAATAAATATTTTAACTTTATTATAGAGGCCAAAAAACATTTGCCCGGTATGCCAAAGCCCTGCCAGTCCGACATTAATTCGAAGTAAAACATTTATTGACTTTTACGCTATTTCAGATGTGATGCATTTTATCTGTTAGTATTTTTGTTATTTACGTTATTTTGTTTGAGGGTTCGCGTACAAATGGAAACAAAACGATGACCATAATGCCATTAATTAACTAAAAGTGATTATCCCCATCCTTAGCGGAGTTCCGGGAAGGCTTATTATCGATTTCCATTTATATAACTCCTGTTAACCTTTCAGTGTTGTGCAGTAGAAAAGCATTCCGGTTGGGGCTGGAGGAGGAGTATTGACGCTCTCTGTCCGTCATAATGAGAGCCTCAATCAATGCCAGCGGCTCAAATGGGGGTGAAAATGACTGCCTTTCTATGCCGTATCATCTTCACTCTTTTATTAAAATACCTAAGAGCTTTATTGTCATTTTATTTCTTTGTCGGGCCCTATCAATGGGCGCTTTGTCCCGAATTAAAAATTTCGCCAGAGCCGGTGATAAGGGATGCGGAAGCCGTTTGTTTTATCTCGTTTCGTGGTAATAATTGTTTCGGTGCCGGCTTAAGGCCTTCCTGAAATTTTCTATACGAAAATTTAACGTAATCAAACATAACTATTCGTTGCCTCTTTAAATATTGAAAAATTGAATTCCAAATCTTCTCTGCCAATAATTTCAGTAGGTACTTACATTGAATCTAGAAACTGCCAGTTTCTGAAAAAAAAAAAAAAAATTGTGGCATGATAATGATTTCATTTTCCCAGAGAACACTTGTTTTATTTATATATCTGATTTTTTAATGAAAATTTTGCGGCACTTTCATATTTTGAGATTTTTTTCTTTGGAAATTTTGTTGTTATACTCTGTTTGGAAATGAAAGAGAGTAATAAAACCCCGAGATAAGAACCGGCCATGGGCGTGGTAATATTTCGTTTCAGGTAATTATCGGGTAACACTAATGCTAACAGGTAATGGGTGCACATTAGTATATTTTACTGGATACATCATAGGGCAGGAGCCAGTGTATTGTGACAGATCAATCCAGTCTTAGAGCTGAATATACGAAGATGTGCTAGTGCAGTAGAGTAAAATTCGACTTGTGTTTAGTGACTAAAGTACACTCATTTTATTTTAAAATAGAAATACCAACGCTAAACAAAATTTTAAGTGAACTTTCAGAGGACAACGATTTGCCAAAAATCAGTAGAAGCAAATTATGGGCCGTCTTACGAGAGTTGAATTTTTGCTGGGAAAAGCAGAACAGGAAGTCAGTTCTTATCGATAAAGATGAAATTATTTGTTGGCGAAGATCTTACTTAAGATCAATTAGAAAATTCCGTGACGAAGGGAGGAATATTTATTATCTAGACGAAACTTGGGTCAACGAGGGATATACTGTAACAAAAGTATGGCAAGATAAAAATGTAAAAAGTTTTCGACAAGCATTTTTGGATGGACTTTCAACAGGGTTCAAGGCACCTTCAGGTAAAGGGCGAAGATTAATAGTGACACATATAGGTAGTGCCAGTGGTTTTGTAGATGGCGGTTTACTTTTATTTGAATCTAAAAATACAGGTGACTATCACGAAGACATGAACGCAGATGTTTTCGAAGAGTATTTTACACAGATGTTGGATCTTATTCCTCCTATTTCGGCATTCCACAAATAAGAAGTGGATCTTAATTGTGGAAGGGCGAAATGGGCGGTGACTATTAGACGCCTTCATTATAGCCATCTTTCTCTATCGCACGGATTTCTATAACTTTCTTTATCGCTCTCACGTAACGGCCGATGAATCATGGGGACTTTCCGACCCTGTATGTGAGCCAAAAGTTGTTGTTTTTGAGTTTTGGCACTTATTTCTGGACACCCTACATATAGATGTAAGGAAAATATTTTACTGTCAAAATTTTTGTTTATAACTTGAAACATCTTTAAGACAATTAATTACAATATTATTTGTCATATTTTTTTAATATTTCCATGTTCGAATGAATTATTTTAGTCAAATAATGTATTTCCAAAAAGGGATCATTTTTGTTTTTTTCATTTTAGACATTCTGTTCAAATTATTGTTAATTCATTTTTACTTCTTTAGATACTTCAAAAATGTCATATAAATATAGATTAGTCATCACAAGTATTATTCATATGGAAATAATTTCATATATCTGTATGTTTGATAAAATGAAAATTTATTGATAAGAGGCGCGTTTATTGCTTTTTAAAGCAAAGTGGTTGATAAAGTGGTTCTAAAATTAAATACGAGGTGTGACAATTAAGTAATGAGACCGTATATTTAAAAATTATTCTACAACTCTGCCATCCCCTTCAAAGTAGTCCCCTTGGGCAGCTATACAACGATTCCAGCGTGTTTTCCACGCTTCGTAACATTCCTGGAACGCTTCGACTGGGATGTCCGCGAGTACCCTCGTCACGGTCTCTTGGATGTCCGCAACCGACTCAAAATGGGTTCCTTTGACCACCGATTTTGCTCTAGGGAACAGAAAAACGTCACAAGGTGACATATCGGACATATCGGGCGAATAAGGCGGCTGTTGCAACACGGTGATCCCTTTAGAGGCCAAATACTGGGACACGCTGAGGTCGGTGTGGCACGGCGCGTTGTCGTGATGAAGGATCCAGTTGTTTGCGATGTCTGGGCGCACCCTATTGACTCGTTTTCGCAATTTTTCGAGTACTTCGCGATAGTAGACTTTATTTACGGTTTGCCTCGGTGGAACAAATTCTTTGTGGACGATTCCACGGCTATCAAAAAAGGTAATGATCATCGTTTTCACCTTCGACTTGCTCATGCGAACTTTTTTCGGACGGGGGGAGTGCGGAGACAACCATTGTGAGCTTTGGCGTTTGGTTTCCGAGTTGTATTGGAAAAACCAGCTCTTATCGCCTGTAATAACTCGATCAAGCAGCTTGGGATCGTTTTCCACTTGCTCCAAACAGTCTTCTGCGACGGTCATTCGATGTCACTTTTGCTCCTCAGAAAGGTTCTTTGGAACCATTTTCGCACACAACTTTTTCATGGTTCATACCCAGTTCCGATGCCAACATTCGAACTGTTAAACGCCGATTTTCACGGATTCGGGCGCACACTCGCTGCACATTCGGGTCAGTCCGCACCTCGACTGGTCTCCCGCTCCGCGCCTGGTCTTCCACGCTTTCACGCCCCTCCTTAAACTCTTTATGCCATCGAAACACCTGGGCACGACTGAGAGCACTATCACCATGCAGTTTTACGATTTTAGCGTACGTTTCCGAAGCTGTTTCGCCCAATCTGGCGCAACATTTTATCGCGACGCGTTGCTCGAAATTTTGCTTCTCCATTTTCGTGACGAGCACCACCAACACACGTCTACTAAACACGACACAGCAGGCGAACTAAACAAGCTAGAGCGATGGTAAATATCAAGGGAAAGGGAAGGATGCCGGGGAAGGGGAAAGGGAGTTTCAAGGTCGCAGGTTTACCACAAGCGCGGCAATAAAATCAGTCTCGTTACTTAATTGTCACACCTCGTATATGTCTGTAACAAGAAATTTATGTGAAAAGATGTCCCCCTTCGATCAAAAATCGACCTGTCTCCGCGATTTTCGAAAAAATCATTTTCCTGAGAGTTATTCGCTCTGTTTCGTTTTCAAGAGCCCTGTATGGTAAATTTTTTTTTATGGATTAATGCGACCAGAAACTCTACCTCGTTAATTGTTTGTTACAAAATAAAAAAAATTGCTTCACATTAAAAGAAAATATTAGGGGCGTTAATAATTGAGCAAAATAAATGTAATGTGGCTTTACTGAACTGAAAGTGGTATACACCTCAGTCAAAAATCAATTCCACCTATTTAAAATACTTTTGTGGTTAAGGCTAAAAACAGCAACTATTTTTCAAAATATAACACTCCACGTTTCAGGGAATGTGAGTAATAGAAACTTTTTTATTAGAGCTTTAGTCCAGAACACTACCCATCGTTATTCATTAGGTCTACATGACGCAAAAAAAAAACAGCAACGAGCCTATGGAAGAGCAGCGCACGCCACCAAACAGTTATGCAGTCTGCACCAGGCCATGAATATAAAATATGCAGGGGCCGGAGCGCAGAGCTCAATGTTTGATGTTGTACCATAGAAATGAATCACACTTGCATGCATCAATGTCGTCAATCAGTCGTCACAGTTGGATCAATTCGGCCACTAATCCCGTATGGACTGTATCGAAAATGAACAGCCAGGGTATCGATTACCCATTACCGCGACCCGAATCCGGCAGACACAAAGAATTGTAGGAATTATAATACAATTGCGTTCCACCAAAATAATAAATTACCTCGCATTACACGCCATTACAATATATAATGACACTATTATTCCATAAAATTTTATTATTGCAGCTGAAAAAAATGCGCATTTCACCATCGACTCATTTTCACACACGAATTATCGCATATTCATATTGTTTTCATGAAATAAAATCATTGAAAACCAGATCACTGAAAAATCGAAGAAACAAAGGAATTCCCTGATAATAACATATTTGATTATATTATTTCCTCCATCCTCAAAATAAAATGTCATTTTAACGTCAAAATTTTGCCACCTTAAATGTGTCACTCTTCAAATTATGTTTTATCATCAAACTAAATACCTACATAAAATAAACAGTTTCAACTGAATTGTCCTTATAATCTGCTTCAGCAAAACTTCTCATTAAATAATATCTTGAAGAAGAAAGCATCGATATAGTTTTGCAAAGCAAGATAATGAACTATTTAAAACAACTACTTCAGAAGAGCTTGCAGTAATTTTAACTGATCGAGTTACGATATGAGGAAAATAAATGGAGAAATACATAAAGAAGGCATTATAAAAACTATTTGGAATTATCGTATTTTTATGGCATCAATCGTATCATTCATGAATAATCGTCTTCATCTACGCAACATTTTACTACCAATACGCGAGAACCAACGTTTGGTAAAAATTCAGTATTTACAGAGTGTCCCATAATACTGTTGACAATACTTATGGGGACTTTCCCTAGGTAAAAGTAAGTTTAAATGTTTTGGAAGCGTTGGTCCAGAATTTGTTTTTGAGATACCTACCAGCCTCAAATTTAAAAAAAACGAGATCGCGTCGTGCAACATCAGTTTTCTTTATTATTTATAAGAGTGCTATATATGCCTAAATTATGATTTTTTTCGAAAATTAAAATAAAAACTAAATATGTTTAATTTTAGGTTCTATATTACATAAAAAATCTTTAAAAGAATTCTTGCACATTGGTTTTCTTAAAAAGTTTCGTCCTTTTGAAAGGACAGTAGGCATACAAACCTTTAAAAAATATATTTTTTATTTTGTAACAAACATTTTAAAATTGCATATAACAAATTGAAAAATTGAAAAAAATCTAAATTTGAGAGGGGGGTATTCTAATAATTACATATTATGGTATATTACAAAACAATCTACATGTAAAGCTACATCATTTCATGTATTTTCGCTGGACTTTTTTATGATAAACTCTACAACGCGTTTGTTTTGGTTGCAAGACAATATAATGGTCTTTGTTATCCAATCGTGACTCTAGATGTTCCAACGAGCTACGCCTTCCTCGCTTTCTTCCACTGTTTTGGTATTTTTCTAGTCTCAACTATTGTCCTTCGAAAATCTTAATGATCCATTTTGCCTCCTTGGAGTCTATGTAACAGCCAGGCATTTTGTTCAGGAATATCAAGACTATATATAATAATTGAAAAATACCATTTTTTCCCTCTAATCGTCGTACGGTACGGTTAAATTTTGTCCAACCCCTGGTCACAACTTCTGCTGGTGCCAAGAGCTGAGAACCGGGCAAGTTATTTATGTTCAAGTAATCTTCATCTCCAGTATCTTCATCTGTCAAATCTTCATCTGAGTTTATAGAAGGCAACAAAGCAATATTTATTGCCAAAGGATCTTCTTCTAAATTTCGCAAAAGATCATTTAACGTGAGACCCCCTGAAATAGAAATACATTATACCCCTAATGCCTATTGTCGTTTTAAAAGGACAGTAGAAAAATTGGACTACTCTCAACTTTTCAAATAAAACGAAAAGTCTGAACCTTTTACCTAACAAAAACACCTATAACAATTAAATTTAGCAGATAACACTTACTCCGCTATCTTCAAATCAATAGGCTGCAACATTTTTTAAAAACACTAACTTACAGAAGCAATATCTTACTTATCTAACAAAGTTAAGACTAAACTGGCTCTTAAAACACGTGCCATGGGATATTCTGAAATCAGACTAGCAATACCATCTCTAATCGGGAATCTTTAAGAGCCTCTACATCTATTTAAAAGGTGTTTATAAAATGTCCTTTTAAAAGGACAGTAGGCATATCTGGGTGCATACATTTGGTAGTACTTACCATACTCATTCAGCTTATAAATACAATGGTAACATTTTAGTTACCACTGCCGTTAATATATAATATATAATATAATTTCTGTCAAAAAATTTATTGTTCAAAAATTCCACGTAAAGTAGATTTAAATTTCTTTTTGACGGAAAGTTGGTAGCACTGTACTCTACTCTGACCATAAACCTAGTAGTTTATAATGTCTATGACTCTGACGCGAAGTTTGAGCGCGATCTGTCAAGTAGCTTGTTTGCAGCTCTTAATTTTGTTAGTCCACTCAAAAAGTGTGTTCCGTGATTTTTACTACGGATAATTTTATTGCACAAAGAGTTTGCTCAAAATTTTGTGCCACCAACGGAATTTCTTGTGCTGAATCGTTGAAAATGTTGGGAAAGACGTACGGTAACTCAAGCATACGAATGGTGCAAAGTATTCAAACATGGTCGAGAAGTGGTTGATGGCTTGCCACGTTCTGGTGAAGTAAAGTGAAGGGAATGGTGTACGCGGGAGCGAATGGCTTCATCTGTCGTGCGGACTCCCAACTGTGCCATTGCGACCTGCTATATTGCAGGTACTTGGTTGCAGACTGCCACCCACAGAGGGCGTAACATAATGTTTGAGTTGTCAGTGTTACGAGAAACAACTACTCCGAGAGCTATATGTTCCTACCGGCGTTGAATTATACTCGCAACAACTAGTGCAACCAGCTAGGATCGTTTGTCAGTTTACCCACCAGGCCCAGGCCGGTTTCGGACTTATTAGTCTTCATCAGTGTGTCATAGGTGCGACAACCGACAAACGACCCAGCTGTTCTTCGTCGTATCATCACGAAAAGGAAATACATTGTACGCGGGAGCGAATGGCTCCATCTGTCGTGCGGACTCCCAACTGTGCCATTCCAGGGATGATGGGAATGAAGGGAATGGTGCTTGCAAACCGTCATCATAGGTTGAGAGAGCTGGCATATGAAGTCAACATATTTCACGAATTAATTCGCACCGTTTTAGATGATGTTTTGGGTAGGGTCACAGCACGGCTGGTTCCAAAAGAGCTGTATTTTCATCGAAAAGAGTATCGCAAACATGTCGCTGAATACAAAGTTGAACGAGCTAATTCAGACTCTACATTCTGCTCATATTCATGCGTACATATTTCATAAGAGATAAAATTTCTTTAGAAACCACAGCTGTATTGTTGTAATAATTTCACGAATAGAAAAGTTATGGGGTGGTCAAGGGTATTTGAAACCGCCCCCTCCCCAAAAAAATTTAAAATTATATCTCGGTAAGCGTTGACATTTGTATATAGGCAATTTGATCTCAACTGACTTCTTTTGATCTCAAGAATCTGTGGTTAGGTAAGAACAAACAAATTAAAAAAAAAATAATTTATCTTCTGTAGTGATAAAAAACAGGAAATATGTTATACATAACGTGGCATTCGGTTTTTTGCTACTTTGTGTAATTATGAATACTTCATAGTTTCATGCTACTGGAAAGTGTGGCGAAAAAATATAGGGTCTTCATAGAATTAAATTACTGGTTAAGAAATAGTCAAATGTCAGAATCATAGTATTCAATTTTACCATTTAACTTTATACAGACAATATAAAAATATTTAGCTGTAACTTCTAACATTTCGGTAAGGATTGTAGGTGGCTGAGAGTTGCCAACGACGCTACAGGGGCGTAGGGGGCGGTGGAGCGGGGAATTCTTGCGGAACGTGTTATGGGATACAAAACGTCCCTTCCTAGGACGTAAATCACTCAGGGCGCTGTCTCAGTCGCTGACTGCGGAAGATTTGCGACTAAGCAAATGTCACAGATCAGCAAGAAAAAACCTTTATCTCGGCTCGAATTCTCTCCGACAATCTGCCACTGACGAGTGACCGTGTCGTGTTGCGAGGCGCCCAAAAAGTGCATTCTAAT